TTGAAATCTTTGAAGTTAAAAAAAATTTCTCAAAGATTTTTTTTTGTGCCGTTTTCTCTTTTCCTTGTACAATAAATTTTCTTTATTTATATATACCCTTTTTTGATTTTTTTTTTAATTAGATTTTTTTTTCGCTATTTTCCAAAGCTTCCTCCTTCGTTTCCCTGCTCCTTCAAAGGTCAGACAGTGGCGTAGACAGGATTTTTTGAAGTTTCAGATATGACGCAAGTATAGTGCAAACTCCAAGCTTAAATATGTTCAAACTTGTGTCGAAAGAGAATGTTTCTACAACTTCTGTTTTTAGATTAAGCCATTTTGTCTTAACTTACTTTCTTTTTTTTGTCGAATTTATTTTAGTTTGCGTTTAAAATTTTATTTTATGCTAACGTTTTTTTCGTTTCTTTATATTTTTCATTCTGGAAATCTAATTAAATGCGCTATGCTATGTACTTTTATGTACTATTATTCGTATTAACTATGCACATTTTATCTGAGCAGAATGGTTAACTCTACTAGTGAGATGAAAAATATAATAACTTTAAACCTGAAAAACTAAATCCGTATCAAATTCTTATTTTTATGTTTAAATATAAAAATTAAATGTCTAAAATTCTTTACTAGATTTATTTCTGTCAACTTTTTTGCGTTCAAACAACTTTTAATAAAACAAAAACATAATATTCTGAGTTTTTAATGGTCACCAAGGTAACCTAAAAAAGTTATAAAGACTTAACAGACTATTGTCGTTTAAATAACTTGCAAAATTGCATACTCTTGATTCTTAAAAAGTTTCTTTGTAAATAAAGAAAATTTAAGAAAAAAACATGAAGCACTTAAACCAAAAAATTTATTTCTGATAGTTTTTAGTGTCTTCGCCCTTCCGATATAGGGCTAAATCTGTTAGGTTTTTCAAAGCCTGGCGGACTTAAAAAAATTTTTGCTCACAAAATTATTTTTCATTGACGTATAAAAAACTTTTCTGAAAATTTTAATAAATGGTTTCGAGACACCGAAATAACTGTAACTTGTAAACTTTTTATAATACGGTCAAATGAAGTCTTGAAAAAAATATATTTTTGATCATTTGTGTAACCTTGTCCCCGACAATAACCATAATCTCTTACTTTGTTACCGTGGTACCTTGTTGTATGGTGTATTGTTGTGAATGTGTGATCAAGGAAAAACTAAGTAGAAAAATTAGGTTTTTGAATTAGTAAAGGTAACATTAGAGAAACCTTAAGGTGGTTATCAGGTAAAAAAATTATTTTTTGATTGCCAACTTAATCATATACCAAAGTTAGTTTAAAAGAAACATACTTATTAATATAATTAAAAATGATAAAAAAAAAATAATTTCCTTTTTTTTTTTGCTGAATCAGCATAAAATGCAAAAAAATCAATGAAAAAAGAAAACAACATTTTCTCAGCCTCTTTATGACATTATAAGCCAAAACTTACAACACTGATAGATTATAGTGTATTAAACAAAAGCTTACTAGAAAAACTAAAAATAATTATTATTTTTAAAATGGCAGCTTTTTCAATTTTAACGGAAATTATTGATACAAAAAAAAAAGGTAAAATATGAATATATTCAAATGGAAACAAGCTTAAGATTAGTTCTAGTAAGCTATTGCAGTTCTATCTATAAAGAAACAACCCTGAAAATTTGAACTCAATTGCATATCTGGTTAAAAAGATATGAATGATTCGCTTATTGCAGTCAGGCAAAAACAAACAATTGAGAAATCAAGCTTCAAAGTTTAAAAACAATTTATTAATTAAAAATTTCCTGTAATATAAGAGTCTACTCCCTCTTTTTCTTTCTCCTTATCAATATAACCCTTCCTGATACATCTCCTTTTCCTTCTAGCCCTTTTTTGCTTTGGAGTTGAATTTTTAATCGTGTTCTTTACTCTTGATACGTCCTTCTTCCACGATCCTTGGATCATAAAACTTCCAGGCAAGAGCTGCAAATAATCAAAAATTCTTGTGAAACCTCTCAAACCATCATTGTAATTTATTACAGCTGAAGCAACACCAAGATCTAGTACCTTTTTAGTAACAAAAATATTTTTTGGACACTTTTTCCAGATTATCTGGTTGAAAGCCTCATTTGGATTTTGTGTTGCGCCATCCAGGCAACTTTAAACTTTTTTCTTTCTGCTTAACAAATAACATCAAAACATACGGCTTTGCTAAAAATAACTCTGGTTCAAAAGTTTAGTTAATTATACAGACCCATGAAAAAAATAATTGTTTAAATCTAGGTCTTTGGGTAATATATCTATAAAAAATTATTGGTTGCTATGCGGTTGTTAAGTAAATTTTTTTTACTCTTACCAACTAAAACAATTTTTTTACATTTTTTTATTAATTAACCCATATCATGTTATATATGGTTAAAAAGCCAATTAAATTTTAAACAAAGTTGGCTGATAAACTAAAAAACACATTTTTTCACAAAAATCGCTATTTTTTTACCTGATAACCACCTTAAAGAAAGTTTCGTATTTAGCTGATATTAATTTTTTGAAGGACCAAAAGACTAGTTGTTTTATAACATCCGGAAACAAAAACATATAAAGTATAAATCAGAAAATAGAGAAAAAACAGTTGTAAAAATGATATACCGAATTAAAAACTTAAATAGGCAAACTTGCTCTAGAACTTAAGTTTCACTCAGAAATAATTAATACCAGAAAGAATGAGATATTCCATTTGATATTTAATTTTTGGATGTATATTCGAAATTTTTGTAACATCATTTTTGAGGTTATAGTAACAGTTAAAACGTTTGTTAAAGTTTTTTAAATGTGTTAAAAGTGACACTACTTACACAGCGATTAAGACGGAAATATTGTAAATAGTTCTGCCTAAATAGCTTTTTAGTAAACTTTTTTTTTTGTGTGTGGCTAATATACAAAAAATAGTGAATCCTTAAAAAACCTAAAAGTAGTTGACTATATTTAAAAAAGGTTTTTGCTGTAATGTTGTTTCAGCTTGTTTTAAATTAATGCAACAGGACTATATCAAATTTAACTTCAAGACACTTTTCAGCATTTCTATTTGTTTATCGAGTGTTTAAGTTCAGTTATCAAAACTTTTTTATTTAATGGAAGTAGCTTTTAGTTAAACAACATTTTTTTGTAGTTATTAAGTGCTTGACGAAGTTTTTACGGTCTTATCACAGAGTACAGCGGACGAGCATTTAACTAGAAAATTCACGCTTCCTTCCTTACCAATGTCGCTTATATTTTGAGTTGAGCCGGCGTCGAACCTCTAGGATCTGAGCCAAAATGCTAACCACTGCGCTACTAGGGATGCGATGGTGTTCAATCTCTATCTGCCGCTAACTAAAACCCCTAGATGTCGCTTCCAAAACAAACGCTTAAATGTAATTGCGCATCTATACAATGCAGTTGTGGTACGGAAATTAAAATTACGTGTCTCTTAAGGAAAGCGTTTTGAGTCCCAGCACTAATTATCGAAAATCAGCATCGAAAATATTAAGCTTGAAAAAAGATTTTTAATGTTTTTTCAGTGGCTTAATAAATTATTAATTCCAGCGACTTAAGTTACTCAGACACGTAATATTTATCAAGAAGTATAATTTTGCAGCCAAAAATTTAATTTGTAATATAAATATTCATAATTTATTATGATTAATTTAATGTCATGACTATTTTATGCTGCTTCAAGCAAAACGTTATGGGTTGGTTTTATAAGATACTGTCGTGCAACTCCTGGCAACATCCGTTAATAGAAAATACTTAAATTTTTTTTTCTAACCAATTCTAACTTACTTTTCACAAAAAACTTCTTCTAACTTCTCACAAAAAAGCGCAAACAAACAAGCATAAAAAGAATACAACTTTAATACAGTAAAACAATCTTTTAAAGCCATTCATATATATATATATATATATATATATATATGTATATATATATATATATATATATATATATATATATATATATTTTAATATATATATTTTAATATATATATTTATATATATATATATATATATATATATATATATATATATATATATATATATATATATATATATATATATTATATATATATATATATATATATATAACTATTAGAAAAAAAATATGTCAACAAGCATAAACCATTATTGTGTCGTAATTAAATGTTTAAACATCAAGTTGCAAAAAGCAATAGTTTATTAAACTTGCAGTAAACAGCAAATATATAAAGGACAAGTTGTAAGTAAAAATAAAATGTTCAACCCACAACAAATAACCCATAATAAACTGATTCAAAAAAATATATCTTTAAAAAAATTTCTGATTTATTTAGTCTCAAAATAATAAATAAAAAAATGCAGACATTATCAAAATTATAACCTCTTGTAAAATAATCGATGAACTAAACAAAAATTCAATGATTATCATAACAAACTATCGTCATATAATAGATCAACTTTATGAAGTATTCACACGCCAATTCTTTTTATATCATTCTATTAATGGGATGAATTGGTTGGTGAATTTAACAACGAAACGCTTAGTCCAAGAATAGTTTATTCTGACTAAGAAATGAAATTTTAACTTGGTGATAACGTTAGCTGATCCGATTATCCTCTGTAAATTTATTATTCTCAATTAGTGTTTGTTGAGAAGTAACAACTAACTTTTTTATACCAACAATCCATGAAGTGACCTGCAACAAATTGAAAAAGATATCAAAAACAGAACAAAAATTCAGTAAAAATTCATAAGTTACAATGTAGTTTATATGTAGTTTAAAATTCTTTCTTTAAATTCTTTCGAATTTAAAGAAAGGAAACATAAAATTGATAACTGAAAATTATTAACTATTTTGTTTAAATTTAACGGAAAAAATATAATGGGATTATATAGGGCTTTTTAGAACTGGAATAAGTCTATGTTAATGGACTTAATTTTTTTCGCTAAACTTTTCTTTTATTTAAACTTTAATATAATTTTTTTTTTCAGCATTTTAAAAAGAAGTAATGAAAACATAGAGGTCAATGATTTGGTGATAAAACAACATGTTAATGATTTTAAAATGTCTTTCAGACATTTCAAACATTTAATTGTTGATTTGTGTTCATGTTGGCAAAAATGTTTTTAAGTTGATTAAGGTTTATACTTTAAAAATAAAAAAGTCAATATGTATACACTATGTTAGTTTAAATATAAAAAAAGTCAATATGTATGTTAGTTAGCATTTACAAAAAAAGGATTTATACAAAAGGTTATAATAAAAAGCCTAACGTAAAAAAAATCATTAGAGTTTGGTAAATTTGAATTGTAATGAAAAATTTAATGTTTATAATAAAGTAATAAATGATTTACAGTGTTACTAAAATTTTTTTCAAAATAAATATCTTTATATTGCTGTCTATTTTACACACATAGTGTGTAAAATAAATATTAGAATATACATATTGACCTAATACAACTTGAGGTCACTATGCGTATAGCAGTTTTCAAAATTCAATTCAATTGATAAAGCAACAAGAAAAACTATAAAAATAAAATAATTTGATACGTTTTAATGTATTGAACTTAAAGCTTATGCAATAGAAATAAAATTATAAAAAACATTCTAGCTACTTAAATTACTTTTAGGATTGACAGAAAGAATTCATTTTAAGAAGTCCAAATATAATTTCATAAATTTAATGTCTTAAGCCAATTAAGTTCCACACTGGCTGTGTATATTATTTTAAGTTTTAAGTATTTTGAAAAAAAAAAGAACAAAAGAATGAAATTATTTTTTAATATTAATAATTAAATTACTTTTATTAATTTTTCTAATAAACATTTGGATATAATAATTTTTAGGAATTTTAATGCATTATTTTATATTCATACAGTAGCTATTAGTTACAATATTTACCTCATTTGAATGATCCAAAATTAAACTTTTGTGAATTTGATCAGCTTTAGTGAAATCCATCATCATAAGTGCTATTTATAAACAAACAAAAAATCATCAAAAGAATTAACTCATTACCAAGAAAAAAAATACAATAACTGAAGCTAATTCATAATAACATAAAACAAAAATAAAATACAAATAATAAGTAATAAATAATAAATAAAACACAAATAAAAAATAGTAATAATTACCAATAGCTAATTCTGACATTTGTAGTTTTACAATTGCAGATAACTTTCCTAATAACCAAGATTGTTGAAAAGAAATAATTTTTTTGTTTATTTCATCACTATTTCTACTATTTAAACGACAAAGACACTTTTCTTTGCATTCTTGAAGATTTTTAATGGTTGATTCAAGCAGTTCATTGTCATTTTCAATATTGACATTTGTAATCAGTAACGGAGAACGAGCTCTTAGATTAACTGGAGATGAACGGTTTGGTGAACTTTTGCCATTTTGAATGTAATACCCCACAGTTGGAGGTGGGCCAACTAAATTTGACTTTTGAAATTCAGTTGAAGAATTACTCACTAAATACCCATTGTTATGAGTTGACTGTCCTAAAGGAATAGATGAAACTAGAGAATCTTCATTTTGATGCTCTGGAATAGGAGGAGTTTGATAGCCATTAATTGGGGATATTCTAGATTTATCATAATTAAGAAAAGAAGCATCTGAACTTTGAACAGAATCTTTGGTTTCAGTTTGTAAATGTGATGACTTTAACATAGTTGGAGTGCCAAGTTGAGAAAGTATTGACAATGGATCACTAACTTTTCCAGGAACAGATACATCACTAAATCTTCTATAATTGTTCTGATTTTCTGATGTTTTTAAGTGATCATTGTTTGAGGAGCAACTGGATTCTGAACTGATTAAGCAATTTGGATTATACAATGAAGATAAACCAACTTTATTTATATCATATGGATAGCTTACAGCATGATGCATTTGTGAGGAAGATGAACAAACTTTTTGTAAGTCAGGATTGCTATTTGAATGATTAAAACTAACATGCTCTAAATTGTTTGATAACTCAAGAACTCCTGCCGCACAGTTATTCTGTGGTAGAGCATCAGTTTTCAATACAGGATGTAGATTGTTGTAAATTCTGTTTTGATGAAAAGATGACTGAGGAAGAGAGTCAGATTTTATTGCAGAATGTAGATTGCTATGAATTCCATTTTGATGAAAGGGTGTTTGATTCAAAAATGAATTACCTAAAAAAAAATGAGTTTAAATCATAACTTTTAACAAAAAAAAAAAAAATAATAATAAAAGTAATATTAAAATAATGAGATTTTATACCAAAATTTTAAGATCAACATATTTTTTTTTATTTATTGAAATACAACTATTAAGTTTAGTTAAAAACAGAGTTGACAGTTTTTAAATAACCAAAAGCATAAAGACCAGAAGGATTTCCAGATATCAGGCAGCAGGCTGATATCTAGAAATGCTTTTCCCCTTAGTACTTTGTGTTGTGAAACCTTAATAAAAATTAATATTATAAATAGGTTGGCTTTTAACAAATATAAAGTTAAACACAATTTAAGAACTATAAAATGGATTATATAGCATGTTAATTATCTATAAATTAAATAACTCCAGTTCATTTAACCGTATTATTTCAAATGACAGAAAATCTTTTGAAATAACACGGTTTAATTTGATTATTTTGACTAATATCGTGAAATAATTTGATTTCATGATACTATTTTTAATTATATTATTTACTATTTTTATGATACTATTTTTCATGATACTATTTTTAATTATATTATTTACTATTATTATAACACTATTTTTAATTATATAATTTGATTTCATGATACTAGTTAAAATATAACACTCTGAATATATAGATGTGCCTAGTGCCCAGCCTGGACCAGAAAAACTGGGACCAAGCTAGGTACCCAACATATTGTAATACTCAATATCTCAAAATTTTATCATTTTTTAAAAAACTGCAATAACAATATTCAAAAAGTTTTTTTAATTATCAGTGTTTTTTTTTTTTAATTGTTTTTATAATATGTTTAAAACATGCAAAGAGTGTTGCTATATCTTATGACCTGCTGCTACAAGGAAGTGTTGCTACATCAACTATCTTATAGGCTGCTGCTACAAGAAAGTGCTGCTACATCTGCTATCTTATAGCTTAATGCTAAAAGGAAGTGTTGCTACGTCAACTGAGGGTTTGGTTAGGGCAAGCAATCTTAAAACTGAGGCTAAAAGTAAGGATTATTAGGAGATTTAAGGAGATATTTTTCTAATATTTACGGAGATTTGGTCGCAAACGACAATTTTTTGAAAAAAAAAAGTAAGGAGAAAACGAATACATTAAAAACAGAATCTTATTTTTTTCAATAAATTTTAAATATAAGCAGAGAAATTATTATAAATTAATATATTACTTTATATATATATATAAATATAATAAAGATATAGGTTTGCAAACTATTAAAGAACTATATACTTTCTTCTTTATTAATATGTATAATCCATTCATTTTAATAAAATTTCCTAGATAATTAAAAAAAAAAAAGAAAAAAAAGGAGAAATTAAGGAGAGCTGTCAAATTTTAACTTTTTTAAAGGTTATTTAAGGACATTTAATGAGTTTTTAATTTCTTAAGGATATTCAAGGTTTTTAAAGAGTGGGAACCCTGTGTATATATATATATATATATATATATATATATATATATATATATATATATATATATATATATATATATATATATATATATATATATATATATATATATATATATATATATATATATATATATATATATATATATATATATATATATATATATATATATATATATATATATATATATATATATATGTGTATATATATATATATATATATATATATATATATATATATATATATATATATATATATATATATATATATATATATATATATATATATATATATATATATATATATATCAGGGCTCGAATTAAGCGTATCGCGATTCGCGATTACTTTTCGCACCTTCGCAATTAGTTTTTTCTTAAAATTTGTTTTTTCGCAACCTTTCTTTTTTTTGCGATTATTCTTTTATCATTTTAGAAAAATCTAAATTTATATATATATATATATATATATATATATATATATATATATATATATATATATATATATATATATATATATATGTGTATATATATATATATATATATATATATATATGTGTGTGTATATATATATATATACATATATACATATATATATATATATATATATATATATATATATATATATATATATATATATATATATCAGGGCTCGAATTAAGCGTATCGCGATTCGCGATTACTTTTCGCACCTTTGCAATTAGTTTTTTCTTAAAATTTGTTTTTTCGCAACCTTTCTTTTTTTTGCGATTATTCTTTTATCATTTTAGAAAAATCTAAATTTAGATAATATTAATCGCGAATATTTAACGTTCTTTTACAGTATAAAATTGCAGTGACTTCTGTAACAATAAATTTTTTAAAAAGCTGTGCATAGAGTAAAAGAAAGAAAAATAACATATTTAGAAAATCAATTAGCAAAAATGTATTAGTAAAAATGTAAAAAAATACCTTTTCGAATCAAGTAATAAAAGATTTTGATTAAAAAAAGAAATAAAAGTTAATTGATTGAAAAGTCATTTTCTTAACTTGAATTCTCAAGGGCTTTATTCTGATTTTGCTCATTCATTATGAACAAATTTAATGATATTTTTATAAGTTTAATTTGCGAAGAATTGTGGAAGGCAATACAGACTCTAAACTAGTTATTAAAAAAAAACTCACTAAAGTTTGTTAGTATACTTGCTAACTTTAAATTAATAGCAATAAATGGATGCAAATAAGGACCACAGACGCAGATTATCTACAGTTAAAAAGTGGGAAAAACTTTTGAATTGCGAGTTAGAATATGATTTAAATGGAGATGAAGTTATAAGATTAAGATGCAGTTTATGTAAAAAAATTGAAAAACGGATAAGTCAAACAAAATTGTTTTCTATGACCTGGATCAAACCAGGAACAATATCAATAAAAAAAGACTCACTGGCAGCGCACCTAAGTAGTGCGCAACATAAAGAGGCCACGCGAATTCATCAACAAACAACATTAGGTTCAGTTTCATTATTTAACCATGTTATTCATCAAATAACAACTTTAAATAGCGTATGATTTTTAGCTTCGTAAAAATACTTTTACGTTAGTAAAAATCCTGAAAAATTTTAAGCATTAAACTAGTGAAATTATTACAAAACGATAAAAATATTTACGATTACGTTCTAATACTTTTTCTATTAACAATCAAAAAAAGTATTAGATCGTAAAAGATTCTATTATTTAGACACATTTTTTTCTTTCGTTTTATTTTATTGAATGAAAAAAGTAAAAGCTAACTTTCATTAAAAAATGCATTGAATGAAAAAGCAATAGATAAAAATATCATTGGAATTTGATAAGGTTACTTAGATAAGAAAACTGACTTAATAAGAATTTAATTATCTTGTTTGTTGTGCAGGTTTTTGTCAAAATGTTAAGTTTTAACATTTTATCACAATAATGTTTTCGTCATTTTTAATATTTTTTTATAACTGTTTCAAAATCAGAGTTTTAAATAATTTTTTTTTACTGTTAAAAATTTATAGAAAATTAAATATTCAAGTTGTTTTAAACAGTTTAAAATATGTAAATAAAATAGAAGATGAAATAATTAATTAAAAGAAGGTTAAGAATATCAAGTTCATTGATTTTACAAAAATACAGCCGTTAGATGTAATGCAATATGATAATAGTAATAATGTAAACTATAACTAAAGCTATTTTACAACCGCTAACCGTAAATGTTATAACATCTTATGCAAAAATAAGACTTATTATGTATGTTAATATAAATAAGTTAAAATAAATAATCCCCCCCCCCCGGGGAGGAGGGAGAAGGAGTTATGAGCAACAAAAAAATCGCAATTAGATTTTTTTTACGTTAATTCGAGTCCTGTATATATATATAAGTAAGGTTAGTATTGCGGTGTAAAATACAAAAACTCTTGATCATATGACAGTGCTCAATATTATCAAATATTAGAGCAATTTATACTTTATGTAATTAAATGCATAAAAACAACTAAATAGCGGGACTTAAAGTTTCATGCCTAAAGGCAATCATCAGCCATGAATACCTTCTTTTGAATTTTGAAGTGGTATTCACGGCTGATGATTGCCTTTGGGCATGAAACTTTAAGTCCTGCTATTTAGTTGTTTTTATTCATTTAATGACATAAAGTATATATATATATATATATATATATATATATATATATATATATATATATATATATATATATATATATATATATATATATATATATATATATATAATAGATATATATAGATATATATATATATATATATATATATATATATATATATATATATATATATATATATATATATATATATATATATATATATATATATACACACACAATTATAAATGCATTTTTAGATAACATCTCTGATGTCACACTATTATAGCATGCTGTCACAAAGGAGTGCTGCTACATTGACTGAGAGTTAGGCAAGGGGCAGCAATCTTTTATTTCATTATTCTTTGCTTTTATTTCTCTTCTTTTTCTGAAAAGCTGTATGCTATAAAGATAAGCAAAACTAGTAAGCAATTGCTGATCTATATACGCTATAGTGTGTGTATGTATATATATATATATATATATATATATATATATATATATATATATATATATATATATATATTTATATACAATAGTTATTTTAGACCGTTTTCAACAGCATTGACTGTATTTGAACGCAGCCCAAGTTAAAATTTGAGGACCTTTTTTTTTCTATGATTACCACAAATTTTTTTTTTTCTCGCAAAAAAACCCGCCAATTTTATGCTAAAGTTTGCCAGAACAAGGGGGTATCGCCACCCAAATTTTTTTAGAATAAGCCTTGATACACACACACACATATATATATATATATATATTATATATATATATATATATATATATATATATATATATATATATATATATATATATATATATATATATATATATATATTTAAAATGTTTTCTTTTTTATACTATTATAGCAAAATATCAGAAAAAAAAACTTAATGAACAAAAATACAACAACTTATATAAATAAATATTTATTCTTGTCAATAAAAAATAACTTTCTTGGAATATATAAAAAAAATATTATAATTTTCTTTTTTGCAATTACAACAACTACTTACTGTAATTAACTGTATTGATTATGTACAGCGAGTTTATAGTGAATATTTTGTTTGCTACAAAATGGTGCTATATTAACTATAAATATATCAACTTCATATATCATATTTATTTAACTATCAAAAATCAACTTACCATTGGAATTTAAGGAATGACCAACTCTCTTGTTCAAATTATTTTTTTTTCGATTTCCTCCTCCAGGGCTGAAGATATGTATTGGTGGGTCATTCCAACCACGATCATTTGTGACTGTGTAAGTCAGAAGTGTACCACCTAAAAATGATTTAAAAAAATGAAAAAAAAATCTAAATACACAATACTAAAATAATTTAAAATAAAAAATAAAAACAAACATTTTTTTTCATTACCAGCGTCATACTTCATCCTGGGATAAACAATAATGATTTATTTTAAAACTTTTCTTTTTTTTTTAAAGTCCAAATACTTATAATTTATTTATTATCTTCCTACATTAATATTAATTACAAGTTTAGAGGCATTCTAAATAAATATTTAAAAAATTGAAAAGATGAGATTAATATTTAAAAAGCTTAATGAATGAGATAATGATAAGATAAAAAGAATGAAAGTTTTTAATCACCTTAGCAAAATGTCAAAATAAATATAGTTCATTTAGAAAAACTATTAATACTTAAACACTAAATTTAAAAATACTTTTAAAGGGATTTAAATTTAAAAAAAAAAAAAAAAAGTTTGGAATAATGAAAAACATCTGCCTATTACCTTTTTTATTGTATTATTATTGAACTCTGATTATAAACAAACAAAATGTTTGTGTACAATAAAATATTAACTTAATTGGTTTGCTGTAATTCATAAAATTTATAAAATAAAAAAGTTAATAGGCTTTAGGAGAAAAAAAAAACTTTCTCCAAGTTTCATACTATGTGTATTTTTAAATCTGATCTTTTACAGAATGTAAAAATGTATGCACCTCATGATATTTAGAAGACATTTTAGACATTTTAAAAGCATATAAAATATATAAAATAATATAAACATATAAAATAATAAAAATCATAGTCTTAAATTTTTATTATTTTAAATAATTTAAATATCATAAATTGAAGTCTGAAACTAAATTTGAATTGAAAAGTAAATACTTAACTCAATAAAAGGCAATAAAATCAAAGTTTACTTAAAGTAACAAGCTTACATTTAACATATGTTTTTTCAATTAATACAGATTGCCTGTAACATATATAAACAATCTGCATATATATATATATATATATATATATATATATATATATATATATATATATATATATATATATATATATATATATATATATATATATATATTAAATTTTTGTTTAAATCATTTAATTTATAAAATACATGTTGCAACTATATCCTAGCCAGCATCAGTTAAAATATATCAAAATGCTTAAATCAAATTAGTAAAATTAATAGAGACCTTAAAATAAAATATGCAATAAAAACGCAAATAAAAAATGTAACAAATGTTTTAAAAACTATAAAATAACCGGTAATGTTAAAAGGAACAAGATTTGTGTGTGTGTGTGAGCCATATAAAAATTGTCATTTTTATATGGCTCACACACACACACACACACACACACACACACACACACACACACAGATATATATATATATATATATATATATATATATATATATATATATATATATATATATATATATATATATATATATATATATATATATATATATATATATATATATATATATATATATATATATATATATATATAATATCACAACTCAGTGTTTTTATCTGCTATGGTTATCTTTTGTATTTCAGCCTAATTTAAGCTCAATTGTCCAGAAATTACGTTTTTAGATTTTATTGCAGAAAAACAACCAGTTGATCTATTTTTAAAGATATATATATAAAAAAAAAAAAATTAGGGACCCATTGAATAAATAATGCAGTTTAAGCATGTACTAAATATTAGACAACCAAACATAAATTATGCTAAAATTAATCACAAAAGATAACCACAGCACATAATAGTAATAATAATAATACAATATTGTTGACATTTGATGTCATGTCAAATCTATAACAGAAAAAATGAGAAAGTCAAATATACTCAATTAAGTCTAGCTTAGCTTTAAATAAGTTAATATTTTTAAGTTCAATCATTGTTTCAAATGGCAGTCTATTCCAGAATTTGATTGTATGGTTTGTAAAAATCTCTCAGTTAGAATTTAAATATTTTTTGTCAGACTATAAATGATGTTTGTTACCTCAAATATTTAAAAATGGACTTTTAAGTCATTTAAAAAGCATTAGTGATTTGATTAATTTTTCACAAAATTATACATTTGTATATAATCACCAAATATTTTTTTGTGTTTCAAGGATGTTAATTTCATTATTTTCAGTCTTTCATTATATGAGGAATGACATAACTCCGTTACAGATTTTGTTACTTGTTTTTGAATTTTTTCTAATATATATGTTTTTCTATTAATTATTGGACAATTGAGCTTAAATTAGACTTAAATACAAAAGATAACCACAACAGCATATTTATATGTGCACTTGCTCAATTTTTTTGCTCATCTAAATCGATATTGGTTTTTAAAAAAATGAAGAGAGAAAATGAAGAACAATGAATGAAAAGGTTGCTGACCCATCCCAAAACCCTTAGGCTATGTAGCAACACTCCACTGCGAGTCAGGCTATTTGTTAGTCGATGGATGTACTGAAGCCCCCGGCAGCAGGCTATATATATATATATATATATATATATATATAGAGAGAGAGAGAGAGAGAGAGAGAGAGAGGGAGGGAGGGAGGGAGGGAGGGAGGGAGGGAGGGAGGGAGGGAGGGAGGGAGGGAGGGAGAGAGGATATCTTTATATTATTGAGTGATTTATTCTTGTTCTTCTTATTGGTAATCAATTATGATTAAACTCTCCATACAATGAGCAGAAATAAAACCTTAATTGCCCATATATTTAAACCTTTAAATCAAATTAGCAAAATTGAAAAAGTTATATTTTACTTTTGCCACAACATTATGTCTAAAATTTGACCTTGAATGACAAAGAATGTTGTAAAATCTTTAGTGAAAGATGTAAACATCTAGATGTAAAAAAAATGCAGATAAAAAAATAAATTATGAATAAATTAAGAATCATCTGATGAAGGTGGTCTGGGAAACTCAGAATCAGAATGCTCCAAATTATACAGTGACACTAAAACAATATTACTACAAAATTGTACTTTAAAACTTTTTAAATACAAATTTTCATATATTATATACAGAAATGTTTTATTTTTCAGCTGCCCATATATAATTTAAATACATGTTGAAATTACTAAATTAATGCTTTTGTTAACATTTTTTTAAAACTATGTGCAACACTACTTAGCACTTTTGACAACTAAATTGATTACTATTTAAAACTAATAAAATATAATAATGCCTACTCACAATAAATACTTTTGAAAAACATAACAAACGAACAATGAAAGACTAAATTACTATAAGATATACAAATGCTCAAAGAAATAAACAATCTTAACAGATCGCTTATTTCTTTGAGCATTTGAAGTCTGATATTATATAGGCATGGTATTATATACGAATATATTTACATAATCAAATTAAAAAGGTAACTTTCTTATACAAACCTTCCCGGGAAACGTGTGTGGTTGCACACCTTGTTTATCCACATTTAAAGTAACTTTTTAGACTACTTGACCACGTTTTTATACAGTAAACGTTTTAAGAATTTGCAACAAAAGAAAAGCTTTAATAAACAAAAGAGAATAAAACAGTAATACTCAAAGAAAAGAAACAAATACTATACAAGATAGAAAATCTCAATAAAATAAACTAAAAATGTGAAATTTAAAAAAAAAAAAATTTGTCAAAAAAATAATATACCTAAACATTTAACTGTTTTTTATTTTTTTTTTAGGACATCTGTTATTTTTCACTACCAAAATGCATACAAGTCGAGGAAAAAAGCAGATAAGAATATAACAAAAATAAAAATATTTTTTTTGATATACAATTTATTTGCGATTTTAGTCAGTATATTAAGGAAATACTTCACTAGTTGTGCCAGAAATATGGATGATTTTGAAATTCGTTTTTCAAATGTTTTTTGAAACTGTTTTTTTTAATGCACAGGAAAGCGAGAAAACTAATTGGTATTTATTTGTATAAATTTTGATTTAATTTTTTTACAAGTTTTTCATGTAAAAAAAAAAAAAAAAGAAAGTCATTAATACTAATATTCAAATATAATTTTTTTTTTTCACTACCCCTATATAGCCTGCACTTTTGTTGGATTTTCCAAATTATGCATTTAAACCTGATAGTTTATTTCCAGATGAATTATCGTTATTGACGATGCTCCAAATGCTAGTGCATTGTTGATTTACTAAACTTTTTTACAGAATTTTAAGGAGCCTATTTAAAACTTTTTTAAAAAGTTTTTAATGAGCAATTTCAGACAGGAATCAAATGTAGTAAATACATTCATAAAAGAAATCATGCTATTCTTTTATTTAATTTATTCTGTCATTACAAAATTTATTATTTAAATAATATATAGGTTATAATACATTTTACTAATAAATAGCAATTTATTTTTTTTATTTTCCTATTATATAAATATTGAAAAAAATGTCAAATATTTTGTAAATGCAAAAACACTTTTAAAAGCAAAAAGGCATAAAAATAAATAAACAAAAGAAAAAAAATTAACATAATTTCTCATAGTTCTAGCGTACATAGCAAATTAATTTCTTAATTATATGGGCTGATAAAAATTAGTGTACAAATTGAATATCAAAACTTCCAACTGTTGTTAAATTGCTATAAAATAAAATGTTTTTTCCCTCAACTTGTATCGAATTCTAACTTGTCAAATCAAACTCTATAGCTAAAATAAAAATTATAAAAATTTAAACATAAAAATTTTAACAGAAAACTTTTTTTAATTTTTTCTATTTAAATTATTAAATTTTTCTAGTTTATTTATTTAAAATTTGATATTTTGTTACAACTTTGTTTCTTTGATAAGTTTAGCTTTTTGTTGTGAATTATTGAAATACATTAAAAGTTAAAAGATGCAAACTGCTGTGGTCAGCGTGTCTGAAAGAACTACTTTAAATACGGAAAAAACAAGGCGTGTGCCCACACATGCTTCCAGGGAAGACTTGTTATAGGACAAGTATAATTGCCATATATCAGTGTATCACAGTAGTTAGGAAGTACAACATGACAAATAAACATTCCC